ATAATTCAAGTGATTTTGCCGAGGTTACTGCCCCAAGTGCAAGACTTTATTGAATTAAGAAATCCGACTAGACTGGAAAAGTTATTTGAGCTAGCAATCCAGTTTGAAAGTAGAAGAACGGCGGACGTCGAAAGAAGACGCCAATATCAACAGCGAAACCAATTTGGTACGCCAAGACTACAGCAAACTCAAGCATACGGCTACGGAGAAAAAGCGAATCAGTGGGCAAGGAAACCCGAGCATTCAAAAACAGCCGGCGAACGTCCACAGTTCAATAGCAACCCAGGAAAAAAGTCTCAAGGCCAGCGGAAAAAGAAGGAAAGAAGGGAAAGGAAAAAAAATTTAAAGTAAAACGGATTTCTACTGACGAGAGGGTGCGGAAATCCGAAGGCCACGAAAACCCCTCTTCCTACAAGTTAAATACAGTAATGGTGAAAAATTTGACTCTTCCGAAGATTGAAGTCTTGGTGAATAATATCCCAGCCACCGCACTCCTGGATACCGGCGCGCAGTGTTCCTGTGTGGCAGAAGAGTTTTTTAGGAAGTATTTTCGCAAATACCGCATATATAATGCGGATAATACGACAGTGTTAGCGGCGCAAGGAGAGAAAAATGTAAGTGCATAGGTAAAGTACCTTTGTATATCCGTATCAAGGACGAACAAATAAAGGTGATGTTTTTTATAGTAAAGAATCTGCAAGCACATTTAATTTTAGGAATAGATTTTCTTTCAGAAGCCCAAGCTACGCTGGATTTTAATGAAGCGTCCCTTAAGCTGACAATGAAACCAGTTCGTACTGAAAACGCTGAACCGCCGCCGATGTTAAAACTTGACCACCTGCCTAATGACGAGCAAGATAGAATTCGACAAGTGGTAAGTGAATTTGCTTCGTTATTTAGTGATATTCCAGGATTTACTCAGGTTACTAACCATAGTATTGACACCGGAGATGCAATGGCAGTTCGCCAAAATCCATACCGGTATGATAAGAATAAGGAAAAAATTATAGAATGGCATATTACCGATATGCTACGTAAAAAGATCATAACGCCCATCTCAAGTAGTTATGCTAGCCCGGTGGTTTTATGCAAGAAAAATAATCACCATCCTTTGGAGCATCCAAAAAGGTGGAGATTCGCTATTGATTACCGTAAATTAAATTCCATAACGAAATATCCGATATATCCGTTACCGATCATAGAAGAAATTTTAAGGAACATAAAATCAACCAAATTTATGACGACTTTAGACTTAACGACTGGTTATTTTCAAATAGGGGTGAGGCCTGAGGACGTGCCTAAGACTGCTTTTATAACCAAGTCTGGCACTTATGCATTTTTGCGTATGCCGTGTGGCATTTCAGGGGCCCCGGCAACATTTCAGCAATGCATGGACATTGTGTTAAGACCTGTTCTTGGAAAGTCCACATTTATCTATTTAGACGATATCATTATTACTAGTGATAATCTTGACCAACATGTACAGGATTTAAGACAGGTGTTTTCTTTATTAAATGCGGCCGGTCTAAAAGTTAATGTCGAAAAGTGCAAATTTGCAGCCCCTGAATTAAAATATTTCTCAAAAAGGGATCGAGACAGATGAATCAAAAATAATGGCTGTACAAAAGTATCCGACTCCAAACACGGCAAAGAAGCTCTCTTCTTTTCTAGGACTTTGTTCATATTATACGTCCTTTATAAAAGATTTTGCAGCTATCGCTGAGCCATAAAATGTTAAAAAGGAAAAAAAAGAAAAAGGCAAGATTCTCGTGGACGGCCGAAGCCAATAGTGCTCTCGAAAAATTAAAAAAAACAGCATTAACGCAAGCCCTTGTGTTGAAATTTCCTGAAAAGGATGAGAATTTAGAAATTTCAGCGGATGCTTCGGATTATACGGTAGGAGGAGCGGTACTTTCGCAAAATCAGCAGCCCGTGGCATTTTTTAGCCGAACTTTAAATCAAACACAAAAAGAAACTATTCCGCGACGAGAGAGAGAGGCACCTGCAGTTCTGTTAGCAGTACAAAAGTTCCGAGTCTATTTTGGAAAGGCGCCGATAACAGTATACTCTGATCATGCGGCGGTAACTAGATTGTACTCAGGGAAAAATTTATCCCCAAGGTTAATAAGATGGGCACTCAAGCTGCAAGAATATAATCTGGTAATCAAGCATACCCCTGGAAAGGAAAATATCGTAGCAGATGCCCTATCAAGGATTAAAATAGATGAACAAGGCAATACCGTAAAGATGGCAATGCTTACAGCATGTACAATAAATTCCCGAGAAACTGTAATAACCGAACTGGGTAACGATCCTGAGTTTCGAAACATTTATGAGTATTTGAAGGATCCTGAAAATTTTAGCCACCAAGATATTGTGGCGATAAGAAATAGGGCGGCCCATTACGAACTAATAGATGGTCTATTATTTTATACAAAAACTACGAATTCCAACAACGAATTTCGACCTGTTATCCCAGCTAGTCTTAGATTAAATATCCTGCAGGAGCTCCATGACAGCCCTTTAGCTTCTCATGCTGGTATTTGAAAAACTATCCAACGCGTACGCGAGGCAGTCTACTTTACTGAACTGCAGAAGTTAACAAGGGCGTATGTCCAGTCCTGCCCAACATGTCAAGCAGTTAATTATATTAATTTCCGCCCAGCCGGGTTTCTAAATAGTATTAAATCCGAATTTCCAAATGAAATAATTGGCATCGATTTATTGGGCCCTTTCCCAAAAAGTCAGTTAAATAAAAGTCGCTATCTCCTTGTTATGGTTGATCATTTTAGTAAATGGACCGAAATTGTTCCCTTAAAACGAGCCTCCGCGAAATTAGTTACTGATTCTATTTTAATAAATATATTTTAAAATACGGGGCGCCTCTAAAAGTTATATCGGATAATGGTCCTCAATTGTAAGTAATATATTTGAAGACATGTGCCAAAAACTGGGTATACGTCATTTAAAAATGGTCCCGTATCGGCCGCAATCAAAATATAGTGGAATGGGTCAATAGAAATATAGTGAAAATTATCCGTAGTTATGTTAAAAATTTTCATAAAAGCTGGGATAACTATGTCAATGAATTTGCTTTCGCCCTTAGGACCGCAAAACAAAACATGATACAACGGGCAAAACTCCTGCTGAGTTATTTCTAGGCAGAAAGATTATAACACCGTTAGATAAATTATTTTATGTGCAACAAAGAGCCCCAGAATTTAAAATGGGTGATATATAGAAAAACTAATAAAAGAAGCAAAAAAGAATACGGAAGTAGCACAAAGAAAAACAGAAGCTATATTATGATTTGAAACGACGGGGAGTAACTTAAAGTAGGGGATGAAGTTTTAAAAATTAAGCATTCACTTTCTTCAGCACCAGAAGATAAAACTGCCAAATTTTTTCCACGATTTGAAGGACCATATGTTATAGAAAAAATAACTCACGCTGTTGTATAGTGTTAAAAGCCAGAAATGGTGAAACCTGTTCCGCAAACATTGATCAAATCAAGCCCTACTTCGATCGTAATAAAATGCAAATCTTTTCAGATCTTTTGCAGGATCCGGCACGGCAGACACCGCAGGTACAAGCTCCAGAGGTGGAAAAACGACAAGTACAATGGCAAGCCAATGAGAGACAGAAGCAAGTGAAAAGAAAATTGCCCCACGGAAAAATTGAAGGTAAAAAGAAAAAGAAGCCGTTCCACCGTCCAGAAAAGAGAGTTCATGAACACCCCCAGAATGAAGAAGGGAGAAGGACGACGTATGTGAAGAGAACCAGGAGAAATGATGGCAACTATCATTTCAAACTAATTAACTCTGGCAGGAAGTATGTAAGGATCTTAAGTTTTACTAACGTTTATTTTATTTTAAATCTTTACTATCACTTCTTATTTTCTACTTCCGGCCAGAATCATAAGCGTTAAGGTTTTTATGCAAAGTTTGTCTGGCGAACGCCAAGTATTTAAGTTGTGGCCTTTTGCCAAGCGAGAGAGAGGAAGCAGTGAGTCAAAGCAGGCCGCTTACCTTAGAAGTTACGCAGTTGCTGTTTGCCTTCCAGGCCAGAGGTTTTAATCCTCTTGATAAATTAAACGTATTGTAGTGTTCACAGTCTCTGTGCTACATACGCTTCCTGTTATTATAAGGCCAATCTTCCACGTGTATTATTCTAAAGTTAAATTAGAGTTTAGTTTTATTTTTATACTTTTACATTAGACCCCAAGTGGCGGGTCAGTGTATTCCGAAGTACAGAAGTTATTGTATATAGAGAAAAATAACGGGTTTTGTATACTCTTCGTCTGTATCCTGTCTACTTACCACAATTAGTGAACATAGCTTTAGTAAGCTCTCTGTTCCGAGTCAGGTCCTTGTATGTTCCCGAAGAAGGTTAGAAGGAACACTGACCCTGATAATATTAAGTTTCCACACAAGCAATTAGTTTTATACTGGTATTTTTATTATTTGGTTAAATATATTATATTTATCATGTTCTATACTATTATAATTTATATTAATATAATAAAATAAATAATATCAGACAACTTATATATTGTATGCTATTGCTTAAGTAAATACACCAGTATACTATACCTTCTCAGAATCGCTTACTTGTATATAGGACATTGGTTCAATATTGGTATAATAAAGTTTTACTACACTTAGTTCCGTGCAGGTACATAAATTTTATCAAAACTACACAAACTTATGAGATATTTAAAATCTTCCATCATTATGAAGAATATTAGTGATACTACAACTGCTGTATTTTATCACAAGTTGACAAATTTTAAAGATCATAAATTACAATTACATGCACACACAACTAAAAAATTTTTTAATCATTTTCATGATTTCTAGAACAGACTGTACAGTCCTTTAAAAATTTGAGCAAGCAGGATATTTCGATAGAGATTTTGCAGAAGGGATACAAAATCTTGCTTACAATGAATTTACTAATATTGATATTCCATTGGATTTGAAGAAAAGTGAAATACAAACCTGCAAAATCAATCGCATTAACTCGAGCTCCTTCCCTTAGAAGTTTACGAACTTTGTGAAGATCCCCTTTTATAGCAGCCAAATGCAATGGGGTTTCTCCTCTTTCATTCCGTTTTAGCAAAGGTGATAAATCAGAATCGTCTTTGAAAGAAACAGGACTAGCTTCTGTAAAATGAAATATATTTCAAGCAATGAAATTAATTTTAGAAATGTATACAATTATTAGAGCCAAAACCAATAAAAATATTATTATAATATATTAATTACATGAAATATGTGCATTTGCAAAGGTTAATACAACAGCTGAAAGGAAAAACTGTTTTTAATTTCCTCACAACTCCTCAAAGTGCAAAGCATTAGAAGGTTCACCAGAGAAACGGTATAACACATGGATCCCTAAGTAAAAAACCTTACCCCCAATCCAATAAGAAATTGCGAATAAATACTCTCTCTCTTGACAGCAACTGAGATAAATTATATAATTGATAATTAGATAAAATAAGAAATTTTAATAGATCTTAACAATATGGATTATAGGTTTAGACTGGAGAAGTTAAAAGATATAGGTAACTTTTTTTTTTTTTTTTTTTGTTTAAGAATATGATTAAAATGAAAGTGGTAGACACTCAATAGATTCAAAAAACATAGAAAATGCCAGCAGCAGCTGGATGAGCTGGTGACGTGTGCTGAAAACATGGAAATACATGAAACAAGACAAAACATTGAGAGATAAGTGCGAATCGCTGGTGCATTGAGTTAAAGTGTATAAACATCTTTACTTATACAAAATTTATGCAAAACAATAGAGGAGAAAGCATAAGAAGCAAGACTATGAGTTTACATTTTAAAACTGTTTCTGTTTTCATTTCACAATCAGGGTGATAGTCTCTTGTCATCAACTAAACTTTAGCTTTAAACTATTTGTACTACCTCCTAGCAAAGATAAAGGCTCCTAATACAGAGATTGTTACTTTACTAATTACCTGTGTTTTCCAAGAAGCAGAAACTATTTTACCATACCTAGTTTTGAACACATTTCTTACAAAACATCATGTTTATATTTTTCAATACAGATTTTGCTACAACAGAGATACATACATTTATAAACAAGACAATTTAAGTTGAGCATTGATAAATTAATCACACATATTTCCAAAGTAAATTGATAACTCACAATTTCAATTTTTCAAATGGATTTATTTTTTATACCACTTCAAACACTAAATCCCCTCTCCCTTCAAGAAAAATCAATAGAGCGTCAGGGGGGAGGACTGAAAGGTTTCAGATTTTAAATTACGTCCAAATGGGTGTTTTTATAAAATTTTGCATGTTACTTTTATTTATTAAATATCACGTTCTTTGCACTTAAACCATAAAATTCAGTTCAAGAGAAATGTTGCAAAATACTTTTAAAATGAGCATATCCCTAGAATTCCCGATACACAGTCTCGCATGCTGTATATAAAAATGTTTTTAAGCACGATGTTGTAATTGCTTGCTTTGAAATCCTTGAGTTTGTTAATCAAAAATTCATTAAAGATTTACAAAATATGAAATCCATAATAAAACAAGTTCCAGATTTCAAATTTGGGCTTCCAGATGCCCATATTCGCAAGAGGATTACATTATTCCAAATATGATGGCTCTAGGTATCATTGTTTAATCACAATGAGAAACATACATACATTTATGCAGATTCTTCATTATTTAATTTCTTTAAATACGATACAAATACAGGACAATAATATTTGGTGGCAACATTTTGAAAAGTAAAACATCACTTGTAGTCAATCGATGCAAAATTCCGAAATGAAATACAGTCCTGAGCAAATTTCCCCTCTGGACTAAAAAACCATTTTCAAACAAGATTTAAAGGGTAGTTATCCGTCTACTCAGTCTTTCATTAGGACTACGGTTGACTCTCTCATTTTCATCACCATTCAAATAATTTAAAACACTGCATTTAGTGTGTATTTAGTACAGCAGCAGCCTTGTTTATGAAGACAGTGCCAAAACAGCCCACAAATACATTATTTCTTTGAAATCCAGACCCTTTGCTAAGCTGTATCCTCAAAATACCTGAACCGCCCGAAATACTTTTCCGGTTTCACAGCAATTTCCTCCCCTTCATGTCCATTAATGCAGAAAATAGGTGTGAAGATTTCGAATGACATCCTTTGCACTTTCTAACAAAGATTCCATTAGCCTTTGACCCCGTTCTTTATAACCTATTTTGAAGGTCAGACAAACAAGCCTTTATGGCTTTGTAATAATCACGACTCAGATTTTGTTTACTTCCCTTATTTTTATAGGAAGAAATAAAATGATTAAAAATAAATATAGTCCTATTTTCCAACTTAAATTACTTCCTACTTCCTACTAATTTGATTAAATTCATACTTACTACTAATTTGAACTGCACTTTTATTGCTGTTTAAAATTTATGATAAAATAGCTCCGGTTTAAAGAGTAGATATTTTGTCATAATTCTGTTAAATACCGACATATTCATGCGTTTTTACAAAGGTTATAAAATGGATCCCGCTAAGCAAAACGCGTATATTTATTATTATCACGTGCAACATAAATACGAGCCAATTTTCATTGGAAAAATCACTCCCATGCCTTTGTCAATCCTCTTGTACTTTGCCATATACAATAGGCGACTTTAACACCCCGTCATGAATATAATATAAATAAATAATTTTCTTTTTTAAAATTTCATTTTTACAGGAATTTATTGTTTTTTTCTTTTATTGAATAGAGGATTAAGATTTCACTTCATGCACTTTCTTTCTTTTCACGTCAAGTTGCTATTTTTTAGTTAATGTGGTGTGTTATTTTTTCATTTTAATTTATTTCACTTTGTTTTTCCTTTTCCAAAAATAATGAGGGTCTTTTCGTTTGTTAATCAGTTGTTTGATCCCATCTTTGTGAGGAATAAACCTTAGTTTATAGACTTTATGATTTTATTTATTGTATGAGTTTCAAAGGGTGTTTATAATTTTCATTGTTTTTCCATGTTTTCATTAACTTAGTTATATATGCATATTATTATTTCTTCATGTTATTGGTAAATATGCATATGTATATTATCACTCATATAAATTTGTAGCTAGATATATGCATACATAAATGTGTACTTTGTATAAACGTATCTATGTTTATATACATATTGCTGTTCATTCCACATTTACACAAGTTTTTGTGATGGTGCAATAACGTTTTCACTTTTTTGAAATTGGATACTGTTCTGTAATCGGAACCGGATCAGAAATATATGAGTGTACGCACGTGTGTATGTATATGCATATATGTGTCTCTGTATATACACACGTGCATTCCTACTTACAGTATATACATGCATACATGAATACACACATGCATCCATCCATCCATACATATATACATACATTTCTGAATCCGGTCTTGATAAGAGAACTGTACCTGAAATTGTATGGCCCCGAAAAGGGCCTTTTGTGGCCCTGAAAAGAGCCTTTTTTTAAATTTTTGCAACTGAAATTCGAAGCCTAAAAGCATGTTTCACACAAGCACATTCTGCATATATCACATTCCCAAGAACTTTCAATATACCTCTCTGAGTTTTTCTTCTTTCCTAATTCTTTACATCGAACACAAGTGCGTTTACGACCATTAATTTTTCGACGTTTGTGATCATGAAATGCACTAGGCGAAAATATCCCTGAGGTTCGTTTACGAAACGAATTTTGCAAAGCAGATTCTTCAATCAGTTCTAATTTGAAGTCATATAGCTGCTTTGGTTGCTTTAGGATTGGATAGTTAGTGACTCTATGAACTATAAAAGCGTTATTCGCTGCTGTGTCTAAAAGGAACCAAAATATGTACATCCAGCATTTCGAGGATTTTCTAGACGCTGAGTAATATTTTCGACGCTGATCTGCTAGATCTACACCTCCCAATTTTTATTGTACTTGACAAATGCGAGTGGACATGGTACTATACTTTTTTTGGAGCCTTTTTTTCTTGTAGTAAAACATGGTTCATTTTTACAGTTTGTGGAAATGATATGTATCAATTTTTTATCAAGGATGAATAAAGGCTTTTGCATTTCATAAATCATATAAATTTTTATCAAGGATGAATAAAGGCTTTTGCATTTTCGATGCAATAAATGGCTTTTGCATTTCATAACTAAGCTGTCGTATTTATTTCCCAGCTTCATTTGCTTGATGTTCTCAGGCATGTTTTTCCGATTTGTCATCACAGTTCCACATGATAATTGTCCAGATTTATATAGCTCAGACATCAAGTCTACACTGGTGAAAAATCTGTCAAAATAGATTTCATGGCCTTTGTTTTTAAGTGCTTTTATTAAGTGCATAACTACGTCGTATCCTAAACCCTTTCCTGACCTTGGTATCTGATCTTTTTTACCACAATAAAGTTCAAATTTCTAAGTATATCCTAAGCGAGATGTGCAGAGCATCCATATCTTTAATCCATGCTTAGCTGGTTTCATAGGCATATATTGCATGATCCCTAATCAACCTTTAAATTTAATTAGCGCTTTGTCAATTGATAATTCAGCATAAGGTGCAAAATGTTGCTAAAATTTGTTTCTGAAATATAAAATTACAGGCTCTAATTTTTGTGCATATGTAAAGTTCTCTTCGCTACTTTTAACTTCACTTTCCCTATCAGACAAATGAAAATAATGCTTGATTTCCAAAAATCTCTTTCTGCTCATCATTTTCTTCACCATTTCATTTCCAAGCATTGCATTATTTGACCAATAATCGCTTATTCTTGGTAATTTTACAACACTCATTATGAGGAGTGTTATGAATGCCCATATTTCTTTTATGGATGAAATTTTTTCCCATTGACGATCAACAGTGCCATGCTTTCTTGCACAGAATTCAGCATATTTATTTGTATTTGTGAGAATTAATTCACAAATTTCATCCATAAGAAACAACTTTACATATTGTAAAGGTGACACAGTAACAGGTAAATCATGAATCGGTCCCGAAAAGCTGTTAAATGGGGAGAAAGTTACGGCATCATTATTAACATTAGTAGACCAGGTTTTTACTGGATTTCCGTTACAATTTTCTGAAACCTCTGCTTCCAGATTTGTTCTATGCTCATCTTCGTCTTCTGCTATAAATGATTCTTCTTCA